GTGGTACCAAGCAGCAGTAGAGTGTTGGGGATGCATGGCACCCAGTGCCATCCTGCCCACACTCCTGGCACTCTGGTCATTCTGCGTACATTACTTGGGTGCATGTACAAGCCAGGTTTTAACTCTCAGCCTGTGTATCTGCTATTTCCTTTTGGAAAGAGCTTCCTTCCCTTGTGTTTTTGTCCGCTATCTCTCATGCCTCATTTACCTGTTAAACACCTCTCGCGTGCCACTTCAACTTCAGTTCTACCATGATGAGACTGTCTCTGATCTCCTGTGGTGCTTTGTCTTCCTCCTTGTGGCACTAACTGTGTGGTGTGATGTTATGTTAATGAACCTGTGTCCTCTACCAGATCATGCCCTTGAGAACAGGGACTCCTTTCTCTTAATTTTTGTATGGCATTTGTTGAATAAATATAAATAAAAGATGAAAATATTGAATGAATGAATGAGTCTGCAAAAAGATACTCCTACTATAGGTTCACCTAGAACCAGTGGTGCCCTGGGCCACTGGATGAAGTATGCCTAATAAATCTGAACAGAGTTAATGATTCTGCAATGAAATATTGATGAGTTGACTGAGTTATATATACATGAGAGTGAAAACACATCATTGCTATTTAGCTGACTTGGTTGACATTTTGTTTTAGCCTTTTTCCTTGAAGTCAGTGAGGCTGAGACCTGGAGGATCAGGAGGAGTTCACTGAGGGTAGGGTGCAGAGCATGCTGAATGGCCTTGTGCAGAGCCTGGAGGAGAGAGCGTGGGCTCAATGCAAGTGGTTCAGCAGCAGCTCACAGGCTATGAGCAGAATCTGGAAAGGTGAGAGAGGAGGTCAGGGAAGGGAGCAGGGGCCAGAACTCTAAGCAAGTTTAACTGCTTCCTGAGGACAGTAGGATGTAGTTAGAACTTTCAATTTAAGCAGAGTGTGTTGCAAGACTTTTTGTTTCTTTAAAGAAAGAGAACCTTGACTGAAATGTAAAGAATGGTTGGATCAGAGTAATACCTGAGGCTGGGAGACTGGTTTTAAGGCTGTTGCAGAAACGTGGGCATGGGGTGGTGGGGGCTGGACTAGGGTGGCAGCTGTGGGGATGGAGAGGTTAAGGAGGTAGAATGGACACGCCTTAGTGACGGGATTGGTGGGTGGTGAGAGCTGCTGGTGCTGGGAGTGTAAGGAAAGGGGTCGACGATGATAATGCGAAGGGCTCTGGCTTGGGAAACTGGGCAGATTTCAACTGAGATGAGGGAATCTGTGGCAAGAGGTACAGTTGGGCTGAGAGGGAGGAAAGAATAAATTATTTCCAGGAATTTGTCTATAATAGGTTTTGTTGAGGGTCTTAATTATATGATATATAGACATATATATACATCTAGAGGCTTTCCCAATTAGTATAATTGCAGCAATTCAATTAAGTAATTTGGTTACTTAATGCAATTGAAATAGTATGCTTTTTCAATTAATGTAATGACTATCTTTCCATGCTATTATAAATTATATGCTCTTACAGAATCTTCACAAACATTAAAGGGCAACATGTAAATAAATATGTAAACTGTAAGAGAAAATTTGGGTCAGGTATGCTGATTGAAGGAGTTACCCCGCTGCCCTCCTGCAAGAGCAGAGCAGCCTCGGCAACTCACCCCCAGCATCTCCTGGGAGAGGCCTGTTCTCATTGCAGGCAGTGGGAAGAGCCTACAGCTGTACCCAGGAAGCCCCAGGAGCATCACTACAAAACGGACAGGGGACCCGGGGGACGTGAACCTCGGGAGTGAGGGACGAAGGGGCTCAGGGGAAGATCTGTGACTATGAAGGGGTTCTGAAGAAAATTTCCCCAACCAACTGGTGAGAGAAAATGACAGTGTCTTTGAAAGTATTCTGTAATCTCAAAAATGGAATATAAATTTAAGGAATTATCACTGTTATCCACAATCAAAACTATCCATTTAAAACTGATGGAAGTTTTCCCAGCATTCATCTGTAAAATAACAGGCGTTGTGAAGGAGACTTTTTTTTAAACTACCTTCTCCTTTGCACCTTTTGAATCATTTTATATATATATATATATATATATATATATATATATATATATATATATATATATTTGCAACAGAGTTTCACTCTGTTGCCCAGGTTACTAGAGTGCAGTGGCCCAATCTCAGCTCACTGCAATCTCCACCTCCTGGGTTCAAGCCATCCACCCACCTCAGCCTCCAGAGTAGCTGGAACAGGTGTGTGCCACCATGCCTAGCTAATTTTTGTGCTTCTAGTAGAGTCGGGGTTTCACCATATTGGCCGGGTGGTCTTGAACTTGTGGCCTCAAGTGATCTGCCCACTTCCATCTCCCAAAGTCCTGGGATTATAGGGGTAAGCCACTGCTCCTGGCCATAACTATATATATTTTAAAATTCTGTAAATTGATGTAAACCAGTTCTCATATGCACTTAGGCATTATTATCCAATCTTATAAAGACAAGTCAGATCACTAGGATTTTTTGGCATCAAAAAATCATAGAAAAATCATAATTGTGTCTCACATTAACTTTACTCAATAGAAAAGCATGAGGCCCATGCCTAGGATAACATTAGATGATCACATATTACACTAAAAGTACATGAGTCAGAGTGGCTTTGCAAAGGGAGAGGGCATGGCATAAAATGTATGGGCTTTAGATTCTAGTTGGGCTAACCGTCTTGGTGCCTCAATTATTTTCACCTGTGAAATTAGTATAATGAAACTTTTATAAAGAATCATTATTGGACTCACCCGGGTTAACCTGTGAAAAGGCAGCTGGCCCCTGTGACCTACACCTCTCTATGGGTTTGTTTTGTTGAATCTTAGAAATATCAACTTCCATGTGCAGGAATTCTTTTGACTATGAATAATGAATAAACCTGACTAGATGGCTGTGATAAAGGTGGGCTTATTTTTCTCCCTGTATGACATGTTTCTTGAGTCAGTAAGTCCAGGGCTGGGTAGGGTGACCAATAACCAGATTTGCCCAGGACGATTTTTCTTTTAGCATCTTGGGAAACCTCCACACGGTCAGTCAGCCTAGCAGTAATGGTCATCAGTTCACCATCAGGAACCAAGGTACTTTATTCTTTCTCCCTGGACCAGTCTGAGTGTGGCTTGCTGCCTCGTGGTTGCAAGATAGCTGTTGTACCTTCCAGCATCATGTCTGCATTCCAGGTGGGAAGAAGGGGGATGGCAAAGGCGTCCAAGGTGTTCTCTTAGAGAAGTTTACCTCTTATTCTGGAAAGAAAGTGTTCCTTGAAGACCTGCACTTACAGCTTATTGGCCAGAACTTTCTCATTAGCTGCAAGAGAAGCTGAGAAATCGAGGTTTTGTGTCCACACCGGTAGAAGAATTCTAGGCGAGAAGTCTGGGAGATGCTTTTAGGTGGCCCCTCTGCAGTGTCTGGCCCAGCCCCTCCTCTTTCTTGCACCCAGCCACGGTGTGCTGAGTACCTGCTATGGGACAGGCACCGAGCTAGAATCTGTGATGGACAGAAAGAAGAATAAATGCAACCCCCAGCCCAAGTAAGCACACGGCTTGGTACAGAGGTGACTGTGGTCAGAGGGCAGCTGGGAGAGGGTGGGAGGCACTGTGCTGCCAAATTTCCTTGAGATGCAAGTGTGAATACAGGCTTGGAGGATTAGCTGGATAATAATGAACATGATGTACTTTCCAAGTAAAGATGAACCCCAAGATTTGAGGACAGGACTTGGCAATGAGAAAGCTCCAGAGAGGACAGCCAGGTGGGTGTGAGAAGGAGGAATGCATGTGTAGGGGTAAGTACCTCTCGCTCCTGAAAACGACCAGGCTGAGGGGCCTGCCATGGCATTAGGGAGCCATTGTGAATACAACAGAGTGAGGATGGAGATCTGGGTGACCGTGGAGCACGTCGGCAAAGAGCCGCAAGGCCTCCTTGTGGAGATGAGTCACCACACACAAATGAAGAGTCCAAACCTGCCCTTGAGAAAAAGAAGACCAAACCTTTATCCCCTGCCTGAGGATCCTGCTGAGTGCTCAAGCCTCACCCAGCCTGGTTTCCTATCCTTTTGGCCTCTGACGCCAGCCGCCTCCTCGCTTTTCAACCTCTCTCTACTTCCCCAGCTCAGTTGCTAAATCCACCGCAAGGCCCAGGTCTGGCCAGCCTCTGAGCCAGGCAGGCCAGAGGCAGCAGCCTCAGTTGCCAGCCAGGGTTGGTGCCTGATGCCAGCGACCTGCCTGGGTTCCTAAGCGAGCGGTAGCATGCTCTGCCTCCCCTGCACTGGTACTGGCTGGGTCATAGCACAGCTGCAGCTCTAACCCCCTCCCAGCAGCCTTAGAGCCTTGGGAGCAGACCTGGAATTGTCCTGCAGATGCTTCATGCAAACTCACGGAAGCAGAAAAAAAATCCTGCAAGGTGGGATAGTTACTCTCATGTTGCCCATGATGAAATGAGGCCCAAGGAGGCCAGGTGAGTGGCTAGAGGTTATCTGGACACTCAGAGGTCAAGGTGGGTGGTAAGGTAAAGCCCCAGGACTCCAGACTTGACCCTGTGGTTAAAGCAAACTCAAGAGCTGCCCCCTTTTTATTTTTTCTGAGAATGGGGAAAGATTTACTCAGAGCAAACCTGTCCCCTTCTACATCTCCATTGGTTCCTAAATTCTAGATCTGGACCGTATGAAAAACGCAAGTTCTTGAAAAATAAAAATCAATGCATATTACCTTTGGACATACACAGCTGTAAAAGCATTTTTTTTAAGATGGCCTCTCAGCCGGTTGCCGAGACTGGAGTACGGTGGTGCAATCTCAGCTCACTGCAACCTCTGCCTCCCAGGTTCAAGCAATTCTCCTGCCTCAGCCTTCCAAGTAGCTGGGATTATAGGCATACACCACCACATCCGGCTAGTTTTTGTATTTTAAATAGAGATGGGGTTTCACCATGTTGGTCAGGCTGGTCTTGAACTCCTGACCTTGTGATCCGCCTGCCTCAGCCCTCCAAAGTGCTGGGATTACAGGCGTGAGCCACTGCGCCTGGCTGTAAAAGCATTTTTTCAAAGGACTATGAGACTATGTACAAAGCTGATCGTATGTGGCACTTTTGGAGAAGGCCTTCTTCTCAGGGCCTTCTTCTGGGAACAGAGTCAATTCGCACAGCCAGACGTTCCTCTTTGATTTGATACCCAGCTGCTGGGCAATGGTTAGAAGTCTCTTCCCATTTCAGGCCACTAGTTCAGAAGGGCTCCTCCATTCCAGGGTACCCATCAAGTAGAGATTGTAAGGACATCCCAGAAACCACAGCTCTCTGCAAGGTTATGGCCAGCAGGGAAGAAGGGCCGGGTCCCAGGCATTGGGTTGCTCAGAAGCTCATCAGACAGAGACCCCAAGAGGCAGCCAGCAGGAAAGACCTTATTGTCCACTGGGAAGCCACGTTCTGATGACAATAAAAGACCACCCATGTGAGGGCCTGTAAGACTATAAGAGAAGAAGAATCAACACTGACTGTGCTCCGACTTATGCCAGGCACCAGTGGTACCAGGATGCCATGGCTGAGGAGGGGTGGTTTGAGGAGTAACAGCCTTCTATTACTTGGCAAACGATGGAAGCGGTGCGAACTCTTTGTTCACTGACAGCTGTTCCCCGGTCGCCATGTCTCACTGTGTGTGCACTTGATGGTCTCTGTGTCTTCACGTTGCATTCTGTGAAGAAACCTCTATTAAAGCATTTTTATAGTAAAAAAAAAGTTTATGTTGATCATCTGGTTTAATTTTCCCTAAAAACCTGCAGAGATGGGTACTATTATCCTCATAATAGAGATGAAGAAACTGGGCTGGGAAGATGGCCGCCTAAGAACAGCTCAGGACTTCAGCTCCCAGTGAAAGTGCAGAGGGTGAGTGAACGCCGCATTTACAGACGAACTCTTATTGCCCACAGACCAGGAGATACCCAGGCAGAGGGGTCGCCAGTGTCGCAGTCCCAGCCGGTGCGGCTGTTTTGGCCCCTGTGGGGCTGATTCCGTCCGCGCGGCTGCTGTGACCACTCCCTGTTGCTGCGGTTCTCCATACAAAAGCCACTGGTCTGGGAGCCCTCTTAGCTGGCGAGCAGAGCCCTGAGACGGCAGAGTGGGCCATTCATCTGAAATAGCGAGTCAGGCCAGGAGATTCATAGGCAAAAAATCCGCCAGGAGCCGGCGCCGCAGTTCGAGCCAACTCCGTGAGTCGCAGTACGGGAGATCCCGGCGCCTTTTCAACAAGCGACCGGAACGCGGGGTCGTTCAACTTAAAAGACTCTGAGTCAGGGAGCCAGGTGATCAGGCTCGGTTGGTCCCAGCCTTCCACCCCCAACAACAACGAAAACAAAAACAGTAATTGGAAACCCTCTGGGTTGAGCCCTTCAAACCAAGCACAGCTGAACCTGGACGGCCCGGCTCGGTGGGGGAGGGGCTTCCGCCATTACTGAGACTCTCCACCGCTAGGGAGGCAGGCCCCCGTTGCCGAGGCAACCCGCCGTTGCCGAGGCAACCTCCCACAACAGAGAGAGTCCGCCATAACAGAGGCGGGGCCACCGTTGCCGAGACAGTTCTAACTACGCCCATATAAAAAGGACTACAGGGAAGAGCTCAGGGCAGCTGGGCGGAGCCCACAGCAGCTCAGCAAAGCCCCTGCTGGCAGGCAGTGGCTAGGCGTGCTGCTAGCTGGGCGGGTCAGACCTGAAAGAAAAATCAAAAAAGGCAGTAGTGCAACGGAAACTCATAAAGCTCCAACTCCCTGGGACAGAGACAGACAACAGGTGGATAAACCCACAAAAATGGGAAGAAACCAGCGTAAAAAGGATGAAAACTCCCGAAACCAGAACACCTCTCCTCCTAAAAGGGATCACAACTCCTCACCAGCAAGGGAACCAGACTGGATGGAGAAGGAGAGTGATGAAATGACAGAATCAGACTTCAGAAGGTGCGTAGTAAGAAACTACAGCGAGCTAAAAGAACATGTTCTAACCGCACGCAAAGAAAATAGGAACCTTGAAAAAAGATTGGACGAACTGCTGACGAGAATGGACAGCATAGAGAGGAGTATAAGTGAATTGATGGAGCTGAAAAACGCAACGCGAGAACTTCGTGAAGCATGCACAAGCTTCAACAGCCGAATTGACCAAGCAGAAGAAAGGATATCAGAGGTCGAAGATCAACTCAATGAAATAAAAAGAGAAGGCAAGAACAGAGAAAAAAGCGCAAAAAGGAATGAACAAAATCTTCAAGAAATGTGGGACTATGTGAAAAGACCTAATCTACGTCTGATAGGTGTACCTGAATGTGATGAAGAGAATGAATCCAAGCTGGAAAATACTCTTCAGGATATTATCCGGGAAAACTTCCCCAACCTAGCAAGGCAGACCAATATTCAAATCCAGGAAATACAGAGAACACCACAAAGATATTCCGCAAGAAGAGCAACCCCAAGGCACATAATTGTCAGATTCACCAAGGTTGAAATGAAAGAGAAAATGCTAAGGGCAGCCAGAGAGAAAGGTCAGGTTACCCACAAAGGGAAGCCCATTAGACTCACAGCAGATCTCTCAGCAGAAACCCTACAAGCCAGAAGAGATTGGGGGCCAATATTCAACATCCTTAAAGAAAACAACTTTCAACCCAGAATCTCCTATCCAGCCAAACTAAGCTTCATAAGCGAAGGAAAAATAAAATCCTTTGTGAACAAGCAAGCGCTCAGAGATTTCATCACCACCAAACCTGCTCTACAAGAACTCCTGAAAGAGGCTCTACACTTATAAAGGAACAACCAGTACCAGGCACTCCAAAAACACACCAAATGGTAAAAGAGCATCAACACAATCAAGAATCTGCATCAACTAACCAACAAAACAGCTAGGTAGCATCAAAATGACAGTATCAAAATCACACATAACAATACTATCCCTAAATGTCAATGGACTAAATGCCCCAATCAAAAGACACAGACTGGCAAACTGGATAAAAAGCCAAAACCCATCAGTGTGCTGTATCCAGGAAACCCATCTTACATGCAAGGATACACAAAGGCTCAAAATAAAGGGATGGAGGAAGATCTACCAAGCAAATGGAGAGCAAAAAAAGGCAGGAGTTGCAATTCTCATCTCTGATAAAATAGACTTTAAAGCAACAAAGATCAAAAGAGACAAAGAAGGACATTACATAATGGTAAAAGGATCACTGCAACAAGAAGAGCTAACGATCCTAAATATATACGCACCCAATACAGGAGCACCCAGATACATAAGGCAAGTTCTTAATGACCTACAAAGAGACTTAGACTCCCCACACAATAATAGTGGGAGACTTTAACACCCCACTGTCAATATTAGACAGATCATCCAGACAGAAAATCAACAAGGATATCCAGGACCTGAATACAGACCTGGAACAAGCAAACCTAATAGACATTTACAGAACTCTCCACCCCAAATCCACAGAATATACATTCTTCTCAGCACCACATCACACCTACTCTAAAATTGACCACATAATTGGCAGTAAATCACTCCTCAGCAAATGCAAAAGAACAGAAATCATAACAAACAGTCTCTCAGACCACAGTGCAATCGAGTTAGAACTCAGAATGCAGAAACTAACTCAGAATCACACAGCTTCATGGAAACTGAACAACTTGCTCTTGAATGTTGACTGGATAAACAATGAAATGAAGGCAGAAATAAAGATGTTCTTAGAAACCAATGAGAACGAAGACACAACATACCAGAATCTCTGGGACACATTTAAAGCAGTCTCTAGAGGAAAATATATAGCAATGAGTGCCCACATGAGAAGAAAGGAGAGGTCGAAAATTGACACCCTATCATCAAAATTGAAAGAGCTAGAGGAGCAAGATCAAAAAAACTCAAAACCTAGCAGAAGACAGGAAATATCTAAGATCAGAGCAGAACTGAAGGAAATAGAGACACAAAAAACTCTTCAAAAAATCAATAAATCCAGGAGCTGGTTTTTTGAAAAGATCAACAAAATAGACAGACCACTAGCCAGATTAATAAAAAAGAAAAGAGAGAATAACCAAATTGATGCAATAAAAAACAATAAAGGGGATATCACCACAGATTCCACAGAAATCCAAACCATCATCAGAGATTATTACAAACAACTCTATGCACATAAATTAGTAAACCTGGAAGAAATGGATAAATTCCTGGACACCTGCACCCTCCCAAGCCTAAACCTGGAAGAAGCCGAAACCCTGAATAGACCAATAACATGGTCTGAAGTCGAGGCAGCAATAAAGAGCCTACCACCCAAAAAAAGCCCAGGTCCAGATGGGTTCACAGCGGAATTCTACCAGACATACAAAGAGGAGCTGATACCATTCCTTCTGAAACTATTCCAGACAATCCAAAAAGAGGGAATCCTTCCCAAATCATTTTACGAGACAAACATCATCCTGATACCAAAACCCGGCAGAGACTCAACAAGAAAAGAAAATTTCAGGCCAATATCCATGATGAACATAGATGCAAAAATCTTCAATAAAATACTGGCAAACCGATTGCAACAGCATATCAAAAAGCTCATCCACCATGATCAAGTAGGATTCATCCCGGGGATGCAAGGCTGGTTCAACATACGCAAGTCCATAAACGTAATTCACCGCATAAACAGAACCAAAGACAAAAACCACATGATTATCTCAATTGATGCAGAGAAGGCTTTTGACAAAATTCAACAACCCTTTATGCTAAAAACCCTCAATAAACTAGGTATTGATGGAACGTATCTCAAAACAATAAAAGCTATTTATGACAAACCAACAGCCAATATCATACTGAATGGGCAAAAACTGGAAGCATTCCCTTTGAAATCTGGCACTAGACAAGGATGCCCTCTCTCACCACTCCTATTCAATATAGTACTGGAAGTTCTAGCCAGAGCAATCAGGCAAGAAAAAGAAATAAAGGCTATTCAAATTGGAAAGGAGGAAATCAAATTGTCTCTATTTGCAGATGACATGATTGTATATCTGGAAGACCCCATCATCTCAGCCCAAAATCTCCTGAAACTGATAAACAACTTCAGCAAAGTCTCAGGATACAAAATCAACGTGCAAAAATCACAAGCATTCCTGTACACCAGTAATAGACTTCAAGAGAGCCAAATCAAGAACGAACTGCCATTCACAATTGCTACAAAGAGAATAAAGTACCTAGGAATACAACTAACAAGGAAAGTAAAGGACCTCTTCAAGGAGAACTACAAGTCATTGCTCAATGAAATAAGAGAGGAAACAAACAGATGGAGAAACATTCCATGTTCATGGTTAGGAAGAATCAACATTGTGAAAATGGCCATACTGCCCAAAGTAATTTACAGATTCAACGCTATTCCCATCAAGCTACCAATGACCTTCTTCACAGAACTGGAAAAAAACACCTTAAACTTCATATGGAACCAAAAGAGAGCCCGCATAGCCAAGTCAACTCTAAGCAAAAAGAACAAAGCAGGAGGCATCACACTACCGGACTTCAAACTATACTACAAGGCTACAGTAATCAAAACAGCATGGTACTGGTACCAAAACAGAGATATAGACCAATGGAACAGAACAGAGGCCTCACAGGAAATACAACATACCCACAACCATCTGATCTTCGACAAACCTGACAAAAACAAGCAATGGGGAAAGGACTCCCTGTTTAATAA